TTGCCTCCTTAGATTTTCAGTTTCATTCTGTATTGTGAATTTTTATTTTACTGTATGTGCAAATTGTAATGTGATTTTTATAAAAGGCTAAATAAAGAATGAATGAATGAATGATGGTAAGTACTCCCTACACAGTCAGACGGAATTCATTTTTTTAAACAAATACTTTGCTGTTTTCTTAATTTTGACCTTCGATCATTTTTATTTTTTTATTTTTAGATTTTGTTCTACTTCATTTCATTTGATATATATTGCAATAAACTTTTTATCGTATTGTATCGTAACCTGAGAACTTGAAATGTAATTTTTGGTTTAATAGTGCAAAAAAGCATTAGGCCAAATTTGGAAGTTTTCCTTTGAGTAGTTAATTGAGATTTTTACTTTATTTAACATCAAAGGCAATGACCAATGCCAAATTAAGCCACACTGAGGCATTATATTAGGCCTAAAAAAAAGAATGTTTTGTTTGCAGTCACATTGTAAATATTTAATTGAAGGGGCGGGCAGAAAAATTTTTTAGAGAAAGATTACCAAAACGGTCTGTATAGAGGTTTGTAGATGATGAGGGGTGGGATAAAAAAGTTTTTTTTTTTTTTAAATATAGAAACTGAATATATGTACACTATAGGTCTTGCAATTTGGGGCTAATTTTGTTGTTTGAGATTGGAAGAAGGATCTTTAATTGGAGTAAGACACGCGATTAAAATAAACTACTGCACTATGTATCAGGTCAAGTGATAGGTGTGATGGGCATTTGATACATTGGAAGGCCAAAACCAATACCTTTTTAAATTCATCTTTTGTAATTTTTCCAAGATTTTGGGAACAACTTCCAGTACAAATTCAGCAATCCTCAACCATTTCTGATTTCAAAGCTCAACTAATTAAATACTTGATCGCAAGATACTGATTTGTGTTTTTCTGTTTTTATATTGAATATTCCTTGTTTTTACAAATTTAGTACCTTTCTTTTTTACAGTACTAAGATTCTGAGTAAATTTCAAATAAGGATTTTAAAAATTTGGTTAAGTTTTTAATTTTTGTTAATTAAGTTTATTTTAAATCAGTTTTACATTTTTATGTTTCTCATTTGCTTTACTGTATATTTTGATGATTGAGCAAGGGCAGTTTACTGTTTGGGCTCGTGCCTATTCCTTGCCCCTGGCAAGATTGTACTCTTACTTTGCCAAATAAATATTATTATTATTATTATAAGCTCACCAGCTCCGTGTTAAAAAGGTACAAATCGCAACAACCGACATTGTATCACCTTGGTAGTAGTAGTACCAACCAAGTTTTTTTTAAGGCCTTATTATTATTATGGAAAATTAATATGATGGTTGAGTACATGATATCCTGACTGTAGGAATATGCTGAGTATCGAAGTAGAAGACTCAAATTACAAATGTCGTTTAAGTTATTTCAGAGTAGAAATATTATGTATTTAAATCCTCAGCTTTTTCTTCTCTTTAATGCCTCAAGCAGTAGGCCTATTTATATGGAATAAAGACAAAAAGGAAGAACTTTAGGTCATGAATCATCGAAAAAATTACAAAAATTAGCAGTTTGAAGCATAACTGTAATTTGAGTATCACAAATCAAAACCGTCTTGCAATTTTGTATAGTGAACTGATGATTTTTAACTATATTCCTATAGACAAATATATAAGTATTAAGTAAGTAACTTTATTGCTTCTCTTTTACAACAGAGGCACAACCGTAAAGATGTGCAACACTAACAAAATCAGTAATAGCCTAATATAGCAGCATTATTTTAATGGGTTGGTGCCAAATCTGATTGAACAGTTACTTTGGATATATTTGGAATGATGTTTTAATGCAAACTATCTTTTTTGAAATCTATTTTGAAATAAATTTACAAAAGAAAATCAATAAAAAGTCTAAGGACACATATCACTCGAATACAGTAAACACTGTTTAAATTCTGATCAACATACTGCTATTCACCATATGGTCAGAAGCACTATTTGAAATGAGTTTGTTCTCTACAATTCTTATTTAATTTATTTCATGCGGTCACAACCAATTGTTTACCTCGCAAAGCAAAGAGTCTGTTCATTATTAGGTTTTAAATCTCCTCAATTCCCTGTAGGGCTAGTACTTGCCAATTACTCTATGTTGTTAGTATCTTGATTTTAATTACTTCAATGCATTCGATATCCCTATCAAAGCAAAAGGTTATTTGTCTGGGCCTCTGTGACTGAAAAATGTATCCATAATAGATGAAATTGTAAAACTTAATTGCTGAAAAAATTATAAGGTTAACAAGCATACTATAATTCTCCAACAACCTTGTGTTTTAAAGATTAAACCAATATAAAGGACAAATGACCAGTCTAAAATCAATTTTTGACAACTAAGTCTCAATACGGATCAGGCTTAAGAAGTGGTGTTGTTTTTAGTCACAAGAAAAAAAGCCTGGTGATTAGGCTTTACAACAAGGGGTGTGTTCAGGCAAGTCTAACAAGGGATAAATCCGGAAACAGGCATTTCCAGTTCTAGCCCGAACGGGTCTTAAATGCGGACTGCCTGCTGATATCCGCTGATAATCCAACGCTTCAAATTGCAGTGTTTTGGAGGAGCAAAAGCAGCATGCGTTAGCAGCAAGGAGCATTTTTTATCACTTAAATCCCTTTGATTGTTTTAACACGCGCCACAAGTAAAGTCTTGTTTAAATATTCATGGTCCCTTCTTCTTACAGTTTATTTCCAAAAACAAAAAGCTCGATAAAATATATATTATTTCAACTGAGGGCTAGCCTAAAATACAGATTGTTACCTTGTTCCATACGTCCACCACATGCATACATGATCATGGCACCACTGTTTATTCATTTAACAGTGGTAGTAATTTTCTGTTTTTAAACTACAATTGTCAAACAAATGGAAGTTTGAAAGGTCCACTGATTAATCTCAGATAAGAAAGTATAATACATACTCCAAGTATTGAAATACTTGTAATAAAGTAATAAATTAGGTTTAATAAATTAGTAATAAATTAGGTTTAATATTTTCTAGTACTAACATTATTGACAGCTCCCGAAACTGGTCTATCCTATTGTTTAAAGAAGCGTTCGCTATACGTAGAATACACCCTTTGCTTAACAATGGGCTCAGAGCTTCAAAAGAGCTTTCTTTGTTTTTGTAGGTATCTTTGATCATTAGAGTAAGAATGCTTTGATCTTTTGTTTAAATCACTGCTATGTCACCTACTAGGTAACTGCTGTCTCTTATACACATCTCTGCGCATATAAGCTTGCTAATATGGATAATTTTTTCATTCCTGATGATGACATAATTAATGTCGAAATATTGAATCCCAACACGATGGCGTGTATTTCAATACTTGGAGTATGTATTATACTTTCTTAAATGGAAGTTTATTCATGGTTTATATGCACAAAATGCACATCTGCGATATATTGGGAGTTTGCTATGTATGCTTTATTGTTGTAGCTTCTTCTGTAATTTAATTTCATTACTTGATTTTGAGACAACTACATTATTTATTTCCAAAAACAAAACTGAAAAGCTCATTAAAATATATTATTTCAACTGAGGGCTAGCCTAAAATCCAGATTGTTACCTTGTTCCATATGTCCGCCACATGCATACATGATCATGGCACCACTGCTTATTCATTTAACAGTGGTAGTAATTTTCTGTTTTTAAACTACAATTGTCAAACAAATGGAAGTTTATTCATGGTTTATATGCCCAAAGTGCACATCTGCGATTTATTGGGAGTTTGCTATGTATGCTTTATTATTGTTGTAGCTTCTTTGGTAATTTCTTGATTTTGAGACAACTACATTAATGCAGTGGACCAACGCCAAAGTCTGTTTCTTAATTAAAGCGTGGGGTGACGCAGCTGGGTGACGCAAGGGTCCAGGGCAACTTGATAGAACCTTATTATTTGCATATACCTTTTAAGGTTTTACGTCCAAGGTTATTGGTTTTTTTGGAAGCCGAGTTCTGCACGAGCCGGCAGACCACCCGCGGATACAATACCGCTAAGAACCCTATGTATCTTTTTCCCGTTCTCGCCCGAACACACCTAAGGTCTCAGAAGGCATCTTAACCACCAGTGTATATCAAGAATGTTTTGAACCATGAATATAATAAACATAGGGATGCTATCTGTATCAAAACACTTTTGAATACAACTATTGCACCAATGCAGGTGACAGTATAAAAAAAATAGGTACACATTTTATAAGAACACTGAGGCTGAGATTGCTATAAAAATATGAACAAATTCAGGCTGAGTTAAAATGTCAAATGAGTGTTTATATATAAAAAAAAATAATAGAAACCCAACAAATCAAGCTGGTCACATACAATAGCACTAGTAGCAGAAGGTTAGACTTAATATACCCTCTACAAAGTAAATACAGTACAGATATATACTGCTGTACAATAATAAATGTTTATCTTTGAAACGTGTGTAAAATAAGAACAAAATAAAAACATTTTGAGCTGAAATTAGCACAAAAATAAGAACACTGAACCTCGGCAAAACTTTACTGGTTCTTATAAAAAAAAAAAAAGAAAAGAAAGTGTACTAGTAAAGCTTGGCAGGTTGATGGTTCGATCAGTAGTACTATATCTTCTTTGAGGTACTATAGATTTACACAATGACATTTTTGAAAGTATGGAATAGCAACATAAGTCCTACTGAAATCATCTACATAAATTCCAAGAGACTTGGAGATCTTCATGGGTGAATGCACACACATGCTATGTTGCCAACCACTGCCAGCTTATATAGTCAATTGACCTATTATTCCCACTCGTACTTTATAAGAACATTCATAAATGAAACTAAGTAAACACTGCATCATCTTTGGTTACTAAGTAAATATAGAAAGCACCTAAGTATTGAAGAAACTTGTTCCCATGGCCATGAGCGTAAGCAGTGGGAGGGGTGTGAGTGTAAAGTATTTAATTGTCCACTTTATATTCATTTGTTGTACTTACTTGGTTAACATCTTCTTTTGAATATCGTTTAGGTGCTCTTCATCTCTGGCCATACCTTTACAGGGAGGGAAAATAAAAATAGAATAAACAGATACTGAAATAATACATTAGTAGGACATATTTCATAATTAAGAGTTTGAGCATGTCAATCTCAAAGTGTAGTTATCTGCCAGGGACACACCATAAAATACCTCTTTGAATAGTACAAAACTCTTACTCCATGAACCACCCTAAATTAGCACCAGCCAAGATTGTACATTAGGTAGTTGTGGAGACCCACAAGTATCAATGTGGTCTTGAACTACATATGCCAGGTCCGTAGGCAGCTTCAGCCAAGGGGGGTTCAGGGCGTAGGGTCTAGGGGCCCATCTAAGGTGGGGTGGGGTTAAGGGGCGAAGCCCGAAGCCTTTTTGCACTTTAAAAGCATGTACTGGTATATGGCATATTTATTTAAATATTGTAGTTGCAGGGTTTTCCTCTAAATAATGATTCATTAACTTCTTTTTAAACACAGGATTTCAAGACAGTTGTCAACAACACACAGTAAAAACATACGATGTATAATTTAGTAAATTTGAACATTACTATTTATTATAGCAACAAAGAGAATTTTTATTTCTGCTAACGTTTGCGTGTGTGTCGGGAAATTCCAATAAGCACAAAAATCTCCCCTCACGTCGCGATCGGGAATCTTTATTTCCAAAACAATATAACGCTGCGTGATTGGTTAACAGCAGTTTGACAACACAAGACTCTCATAAATTTTCACGCTTCGAACTCTCTGATGAGCACACACTCACTGCAAACAGGATCTCTGCTGGTGATTTTTGATTAGATTTTGAGTTATATACCGTTGAAAAAAACGAAGAATGCATAAAAATAGCAAAGGGATTCATTAATGGTAGGGTGGGTGTTCGCTTTTCAAAGGGGGGGTTTCGCTGAAAAAAGGGGGTTCGGAACCCCCCTGGCTACGGGCCTGTATGCGTTATATTAGCAATTCTTGAGTTAGCAAACTAGTAGGTATACAAAGCAATTTCAACAAACCTTATCAATTTGCAATTAGGTACAGTAACATTGCATTATGTTCATAATTAGACATGCAAATTATTACAATAGAAAACATAGGTACACACTGTTTTTCATACAGATCAGCAGCAACAATGAAGATTATGACAATGATGATTACGTTGGTGATAATATTGTATTGGTGATAATAATAACAATTTGGTTTTTTTGGTGATATGATTTGATTATCATGAAGAAGTTGAGGTTTCGTTTACACAACCAAGCCACGATAATTTGATGTCTTACACTTTAAAAAAATGTTTGATCAAGATGGAGTTTCGATAATTTAATAGCATTATTTCATTACAGCAAACATTCCGAGCTTATGTACATCAACAAGGTTTTTGATGCATGATGTTAATATAAAACTGTTTTCTTTTTTTTGGAATTGACAAAAAACATAATACTGAAAGTTACACTTTCAGAAATGATCATACTCCTATTCTGGTTAAACCTAGGAACATAATTCAAATAAAGATTGTGCTTTAAATTTATCTGAATAAATAGCTAAATTTTCATGTTTCATAGCAAGACTCATTTTGTGATGAAAGACCTTTACAAATGTGATGAAGATGAGGAATATACTGATGATCTGATGGTGACAATGGTTGGAAATATTGGAAAGATATTTTTTATATCAAAAATGAGAATTAATTGAATTTTATAATATGTTTAATGTCAACTTATCACCTTCTTTAAAATATAATTTACTGATAAGCTGTCTTGTGTTATTCTATACACTTGCAATATATATTCTAATCTATTTTAATACTTATATTTACTATATTCTTATTGATTTTTTTCCTTATATACTCTATATATTATTCCATTTTTAAAGAAGGAAAGAAAATAAATGTTTATTTGAATTGAATTTGAATTGAATTAAATAATCAAAAACTTTTAACACAACAGTCAAAGACATTGGGTCGAATGCAATTTAATTATTCACCAGCAACTTTATGAAATTAAACTAGCACACTCCATACTTCAATTCGTTAAATTCTACTAGTGCTTGTATACTTGTTTAAATATAAATACCATTTATTAATATTAATATTACTATATATGGTATTTTACTATAAGTAATGTATTGATGGTTTGAGACTTCCTTATTAACATAACAATTTTTAAGAAAAAAAAATTCTGAATATTATATCATGAATATTTATCTGCTACAATACAGACTTAATTTATATTTTATAAATTTTACTCTAAAAATCATGAGTTGTGGAAAGATCAATGTATTATCAAATTATACAGTAGTATTCTAATACTTTACAATATGTATAATAAAATGGAACAAAAAATTCAATATTTGACTTGGATAGTTTCGAAAGAAAACAAAATGCCAGTTTAACAAATAATACCATTTTTTTAAATAATATACTTTGCAGTCCTCTAAAATTGACTGGTAACCATATTAATTATCAATGAAACCGAAAGAGTTTGAATCTGATTCATAAAGTTGATAATTTTTCTTTGATAATTTTTACTCAAAGACTTTTCATACTGTACATGCTGTATTACATACAAAAATTTATAAAGAAAAGGAAATTAGTTTCCTCACCAACTAACAATTGCATAAATAATATGTAGGCCTACCTTATTAGTGAAATGTAAGCACATTCATTAAAACAACACTGAATAATTCTATATTGCCTGGTACTGTAATTAATTTTACTGATTTCTATTATTGTTACTTGACTTACAATAACCTGATTATACAGTGTACAGCATCTATGAAAATATTTTTATTAGTGAAGAGAACCTCCTAGTTGCCCCCTGGATATATTATGTTGGCATTTGAAACATTAATCTCCCCAACTACATTACGAAACCATCCAGACACATTTAGGAATGTAGTTTTATTGACAAATTCCACATTTGTAATTAATCTTAGAGTACAGGTAAGTGTGGAAAGAGTGGTGGAGGTCAAGTGGCGGTCAGTAAGAAAAGGATGAAGAGCATATTAATTTGAGTAAAGTACCAAATTGCAGCACATTCAAGTGGCATTACTCGTGCTTATGAAATAATATTTGGTGTATTCTGTAGGTAAGTTAAATGTAAACACCAATGATAATAATAAAATACAAATACAATCAACAATAATATTGTGTTGTGTATTCATATTGATGCGCATTACATCGAGAAAAATGCAGAATTTTAAGGGGTCATCATCTGCCACCATTCCAGCGAATGCCTGTGAATAGTTTCGATGAAGTGTAGTGTAATGCTAGGTATTCTGACCATTGGAATTTACTGTTTGAACATTATGGTTGGCATTAATACTGCCAGTGCAATTATGACAATGCAGATTGTACGCTACATTAAACTTATACTATCTATCTATGTTGATCTACTGTAATAAGCTGAAGATTTTAGATTGCATACTGTGTATGTTTATGAAAGCCGTTAGCATTTAATTGAAAGTTAGATTAAGAAGATATTTTCCTCAAAAAAAAAAAAAAAAATGCTCAAAAAAAATAAAGTAAAAAATGCACTTAACAATACCATTACTATGGCTTCTCCGGTAAGAGCCCACCACACTGAACAGAAAATTAGACTGATTTTAGTGAGTTGGCTTACTGTATACCTGTGATGGGCTTGTACCCAAGGATCGGAGGAACTACATCACTATGTTCTTAAAAAAACCACCCTTATGATATTAATATTAAAATGCCTGTAAATTAGTTGAAAATTGTAAAATTGATGTTTCTTATCTCATGATGACAAGATGCCATTAAATGGGCAAATCATTGTTTTAAGCAATTTTAATTTTTTTAATGAGTATATTAACTTTACAAAATTCATCAGAGATACATGCAAATTACCAGTTAAGCCAAAACTGGAATATGATTAAATTTAAAACTTTAGTAATTTTAATACATGTACAGAGAGGTATAGAATACATAAGAAAAAGAAATTAACACAATGTTATTAGGCACTGTATGCAGAAGTGGCAAAAGAATAAATGCCAATAAGCATAGAATCATAAAAATGTTAAGCATTCATAAAGGCATACTTACCATCATGTATGCTGTAAGCCAGACTCCCGAGTTTCATGGTTAACATCATTAATGGCCTGTAGGGATGACATCAAATATACCAAAATAATTCAAAATGCTATAAGGAAAATACTAACTAACGTCCAATTTGTCAACCATAAGAGAAAACATAAATAAAATTAACCATTGATTTAGTGCGTTCACAATTGTAATCAGATACACAGATTACCAATTAAATGCAACCAGTCCATAATAGCTAAAAAAATACTACAGTATTACAAATAATATCAGTAAAGGTTTCTAAACATTATTCCCATCTTCACATAGCTGTGAGTGATTCTTATTAAGTAGATCTTGTTACGTGTCACTTGTTATTTATTATAAAGTGGCCTATTATTATTACTGACTGTCAGAAGTAGCAGGCAACCCCACCAGGGGTAGCTCCCCTGGGTGGAGAAGCAATGCAGATAAAAGTCTGTGTTCAAAACAAACATTTAGATTAAACAAAAAAAATAATCATCAATACAACGAATAAAACAAAACAGTAAGCATCTTATTACCATCTCCCAAAGCTATATTTAACATGTTTTAACTTAAAAATTATATAATGTAATTGATTCAATTTAAAGATACCAAAATCCCCTAGCTGGAGATACCAAAATCCCCTAGCTGGAGATAACTTACCCAATGTAATCCAAATTGAAGACACCAAAGCCCCCTAGCTGGTGATAAACGTGCACACCTGACATATACACCATCGACACAAAAAATACATAAATTTGTACAGTACTTGGGGACATGGTCAACATCAGTACGTAGCATATTGATGAATTAATAAACATATGTAATAAACCATTCCTAGAAAGAAAAAAAAAAATTAGTATTAATAAATAATTTGCTTAACAATGGGCTGGAAGCTTCAAAGGAGCTTTCTTTGTTTTTGTAGGTAACTTTGATCAGTAGGGTAAGGATGCTTTAGCCTGGTTCACGTCGAACTTTTATCTAGATATACATCCACTTAACTAGTTAAAAGTTTGACGTGAACCACTCAATTATAGCTAGATAAAAGACTTAAGTGACAAGTTAAGTTAAATTAACTTGCTTAATGGTAAAGTCGGCTTGGATTACAAGGACAACGTAGGCATCTAAGCCAGCGTTGTTGTATTGTACCACCATATCATCTTCTGGCTGGCAACAATGTACTCCAACAATGCTAACAACAGCATCGAAGTAGTCTGGTTTTCAGAAATTATTTGTAATATTGTGGGTAAAAACCAAGCAAACGTCCGTTTTACGAATAGTCGATATTACCAATGACCTTTGCATCATTGACCAAGTAATAACGTTAAAAAGTCCGATTGCGTACATTTTTCAAAGTGATAATGTATATTTTTCTTAATAATAAAATCAGATTTGTTGTATTTATTTATTGACAATTCAATCTTTTCTATTTCTGCTATAATAGTCGCTATTTTAAAACAATATTTTGTTAAATGGAAGAATGCTAGCTAGCGATTAAAATAATTCGTTTTTTATCGAAGGTAAATTTAGCTAAGGCCTAGAGAATCTACTACAGTACTTAGATTGCGATAGAACACGCTGCTGCACTGTTGTTAGTTCGTACTGGTCGGCTAGGTTAGGTAGTGGAAACTCACACTTTCTCTACAGTAGTTTACAATTTTTTTTGAACGAATACCACTTGGTACTAGAGGTTCGTAAAATACAGTAGATGTTTTATTAAACAAGCCTTTCCACCGTGTGACGTCGACGGTCTGAAACTGGCTGGCTGTTTATCTGGCTCTAACTTGGCATCGAACGCAATTAGGGGATTATCGTATCATGTTTCAAGACGGGTATATCTAGATAAAGTTCGATGTGCACATAAGCTTGTAAATATGGATAATTTTTCATTCTTGATGGTGACATAATTAATGTCGAAATGTTGAATCCCGACATGATGGCATGCATTTCGATACTTGGAGTATGTATTATACTATCTTATCTGAGATTAATCAGTGGACCTTTCGGTTAATAAATAACAGTTTAACAAAAAAACTTGTTTAGTAAATATTCTTGGACAAAGTTTCAATAAGCAAAAACAAACTGAGTATTGGTACTGATATACCGGTAAGTGAAAGAACACAAATGGTCCGATATGGGTATATTTGACATAGGAAAAATATTTGGATACTTCACAAACTGCCAATCAATAAAACTAAAGTTTTTCAGTTTATGCATAGAATCGTTTTCACCAACGGGAAATTGTTTGAAATTGGACTGGTAAAGTCTGAATTATGTCCTATCTGTAATAAAGAAAAAGATCCCCTTTTGCAATGTTTGTTGTGTGTATAATCATTCTTCCTTTTTACGGAAAACTGTTAAAGAGTTTATATTAAATGGAAAAAATATATTAAAAAGTATTTGCTATGGAGACCTTGCATTACCATAGATTTCTTTTATATTGTTCACTAAATATTACATCTATATTTGTAAATTACAAAATGTAATACCTTATTTTAAGGACCTAAAATTATAAAAATAAAATCAGGACCAAAAAGTATGAAGATATAATCAGACTGTTGAATTTTCCCGCTGTATTATAATCTCACTGGCATGATGATTATTATTTTTTTAATAATTGTTTTGTATTATATTCATTATGTTTTACTTTTTTTTGTTCACTGTAATGTCTATATTACGTAAAGAAATAAATAAATATATGAAAAAAAACCCAAAAAGCAAACCGAGTGCTTCTTCAGGAATATGGTTTAACGAGCTTTTTTAACACATTATTGTATTGTATATTCTGTGATACCCACGGCCAGCTGACTTCACAGAGATAATTAACAAGTTAATAACATAGTGTAGTAAAACGTACAGATACACATACAGATAGCTTTATTGTTCAATAATGGAAATTTTATCGCTCGCTTGCTTACAATATAGATAAAATGCAATATAAATTATATCTTGGATATTTGCTATTATAATTTCTTATTCCTACTGGGTCGGAAGAGTACAGTATTTGTATGCGCTTTGACCGAATTCATTCTACAATTTGTAATAAGTTAGCCAATATGTTGTCAGCATGTAGGCTGTTGTTCATCAAGATTTTTAGCTGCAACACAAAAAAAGCGATTATCAGGTGAAATGTGACCTCCAGGTCAATCACTGCAAAGACTAGATCGTATTTCTATAGGCGCGAACTTTAAAAAAAAATTTGTCCTCGTTCATGTCCTAGGCCTACAAGCTAAAAATGTCTACAAACATGAGAAGTGACGAATTCATTTAATTATTTTATTGGGGGGGGGCGGGAGATATTGGGCCTAGGACTCTCCGCTCTTTTGGGCCTACAGTTGTCCTTGTTTTGTCGTCGTTCAATTGTGCCGATGAGCACAGCTGCAAGCATTTCACTTCTCGCCCCACATCGTATCTTACACCTTGTCATCATGACAGGAATGAGAAAGATACTATCCTATATAGTTAGGAAAACAATGTGTTGTATAAACAAAATGGTGAGGTAATTTCCGCCACGAAAACCAATTTTCGAAAAATAAAAATGCAGTTGCAATGCCAGCAGGCTGTCTGGTACTCAATAAAAAAACGGTTTTAAAAAATCGATTATTTTGTGTTTATCAGTAGAAACGCACCCAATGTGACTCGCAAAAGTCTCGGGACTCCAATGTTACAATTATTTATGATCGGTACTTAACTAATTAATAATAATAATAACAATAATAAAGAGGTACAAGGCGATGGCGATGTTATTATTACCCCTGGTCATCGGATCCATAATCAAACCAGCACAATGTGCTACCTCCTCCACTCCCTGGGGAGTATTCCTAATCGTGCTTGCAATTTAATGCCGATACAGACTAATACATTCAATGCCACATCATCCTACCAGGTACACATTTATACTCCTGGGTGGAGAGATGTAAACATACAGTAGGTAAAGAGCCTTGTCCAAGCAAAATGCGCAGCGAAGGTTTGAACCCCAACCTCCTGGTTGAGAAACCGATGCACAACTGCTGTGTCAACTGCTCCTAAGGCATGCAGGCCCTCTGAATTTTCTTTTCAAAAATATTTGAAGCTTGGAAATTTGATATTTGAATGCTGTAACTGTATCTTGAACTACAAACTTTTCTTTCTATAATCTTTTTCCACTTTCAATACAACAATAAATATATTCAAAACTTGTCATGGACACGCATTTTTGCATGTTTTACTGTAAAAATAACAGTCTAGATATATTTGCTTTGCTGCATTTTGTTACTTACAATTACCTTTACAGATACATTCAAATCGCATTTGTGATGACCCTTGCTAACTGATGTGTTCTCAAATTGAGGCATTGGCTAATCCTAACATTTAATGCAGACCTAGCTCTTTAAAAGCAAATGGAATAGGCCTACTTTGCTCAAATGGAGTAAGCCTACTTTGCTGGGAATGAGAAGAATATGACTGTTTGCATCCAAAGATCTTGTTTAAATCTCCATTTTTTAAATTTTACTTTAAAAATAAAATTTCTTTTAAAGCTTCATTATACACAGGCACAAGTTTATCTGTTATAAAAAGATAAAAAAAAAAAATAAACATCACAGATCAAGAAACTCAGAATCTATATTTTTAGAGTGCCCTTTATGAATTCATAGAATCGTTGATGGCTTTTTAAGTAAACAGGATTATCAAGTACATTAAGAAACAAACCAACCTTCGTCATGGAAAATTGATTTCCACATAAAGACATAGCCACTTAGTAGTATGCTCCTAACACACTCAAAGCTGTTAAAGTTGTCACTAAGACCTGGTAAATCAATATTCAAATATAAGCACAATGCATTGTATGTGCAGACAGCCTCGAGATGCAGGATTCAAACATTATATGGCCTTTGGATCTATGAGCAAAATCAATTCTTCAAATTCTTGTCAAACTACAAATTTAAACCACCTGTTTAAACTTAAATCGCATAAATGTTTTAAGAATGAAATTTTAGTGTCAAACTTATACTTTCATATTCATACAATTTAGACAAAGAAAAAAGTCCAAATTAGGGATACCAGAGTCAATTATTTACAGTGAAAATGATTATTTTATTGTAGAATTGGTATTAGGCTCAGTCTAAATTTTAGATAACACATAAAAAGATTGATTAAATCCAGTATACTGTATTCATTTTGTTTCTTACCTATGCATCAATTTACCTATCAGTTTCATTTAAACATGTACACAAATCTAACACAATGAAACATAATGTAACAAATTATTACATATACTGAAGTGTGTGAATGCACATCTGTATTCTCTGTCTTTTTAAATAGCTTCGTAATTTCTATAGACCTTTCGTGGTAATTAAAATTTTTTTAAATTGAATTTTTAATGTTTTTCAAGATATCACAATGGATGGTATGGAATCGTAATACCACAAACCAATCATCACATCCAAAAACTTTTGCAGTACATACAGTAATAATCAAGAATTCTCCCATCACTACTGAACTGTAGCAAGCGCCACTGAAGGCTACACTGTGTATACTCGATTAGGATTAGTTCTGAAAGTGTAGATCTGATCATAAAAGGTATAATTTACTACAGTATTAATGTTTCCCTAGTAACACATTAGATATCTCAGATTCAATTAATGATAGTAAAATAAGTATGTGGGATAAAAAAAAAACCTTTCATACTAAAACAAGAGTCCTTTGGGAGGATACAATGCATTATTTGTACTTTGTTGTTATAATATCTGAACCGTAGAGTAGTTTACCGTAGCCATGCTATTTAATATCCATACATACAGTGCAGGACTCCAGTACTGTATGAAATCCTCTGTATTAATATTATTAGTGTGAAAAAT